TTTGTAACAATGGCGACGGATACTACAATAATTCTTAGTATTTAAGTTTGAAATAAATATTCTATCTTTTATTTTCTATGGCGAAATCTTCACTCCCCGAATCAGCAGACTTTGATCTTCGAACTCTATCCAATTGCTGTATAATTCTTGAACCTAACCTAACTTAATCTAACCATTTTCAAATCCTAATCAACACCACTGACGCCATTGACAGTAATCATTGTTTAACAATAATAATTCTGGTGATTTACTATAAAAATCGATAGATGTCTGCATACTTCTTGACGACTGGAGATGAAAGCGCGTCGCGTGGAACGTGCGCGTTCTCGAGACTGGCGCGGTTGCGAGCAATGCAAGGGTGTGTTCAGTCATCGGGATTATTTGAATAAAATGCGCGAGTACGTCAGCCGTCAGGCGTCCGCGATTCGAAAGCTTTCTCTACTTCTTGAACGCGAGTCGAACAGAGGGAATAATTTACTTCTGGAGAACGACAAGTGTGTCGTTGACGGAGACCCGCTTCTCGTCTCTCCTGTGGTCTTCTCTCTCCTAAGTACAGCCACGAACTTCGACTCCTTTTGTTTGTTCCTCGCTCGCTCGCTTGCCCGCGCTGCGTATCGGACCGTACAAACACACACACACACACCACTTTCCTCTGTTTCGCCGAGATTCATGAGCCTCGACGGACGTGCCGATTTAGAGGATCGTTCGTACTTTGCTACGTACGTACGCGGGTACGTTCGTCTGTCCTTTGTCTCGTCCGCCACGCTGCCGCGCTTTCTGCTCGATTTTTGTGCCTCGACAAATATCTGGCTCGAGCGGCGCGGATCGTAATTCGTTCGGCTGACCTGAAGAGATCCTTTCCACTCTGGGGGTTACCTCACGAAGAAAACCATTTTTTCTCATCCCTTAACCAAAGTCCAAACGGTTGCTACACTACGCACTATAATCATTCTGTTGTCAGATGTCCCATTGGTAGAGATTTTAGCTAAAATGCTTCGAGCTTTAACCCTTTCGACTCCAAAACACTCGACATAGTGTAATACTTCTTCGATTCGACTTATCCAGAACTTCGAATTAAAGGCTATGTAGGATTACTATTTTACATATGAAGTTCATTTTCATTGTGACGAAATTGTGTTACATCTGCAAATAAACAACTAACGTCCATTTTACAATATCATTAACCAATAAAGGCTTGGAGTGGAAAGGGTTAA